ATTTGTTTGTTTGTATCTCTTTGGCTTAACTAAGGGGCCCGCGGGGCCCCCCTTGCAGATAATGGGGGCCCCCCTAAACCCTAGACTCTAAACCCTAAACCCTAGACTCTAAACCCTAAACCCTAGCCTCTAAACCCTAAACCCTAGACTCTATGCTTGAAGCCACCAAACCCTAGGAGGAGGCCTCCAGCGATGCAGCATATTTTCTAGGGTTTAGGGTTTACACTTTAGGTGTATGTACAGCTGAAACCCAACAAAACAGGGATATTAGGGTTTAGGGTTTAGGGTTTAGGGTTTAGGGTTTATAGTATCTATCTCCTTTCACCATAACAAAATTCACGGGGCCCCTAGGGCACTACAAAAACATCTCCAAAGTCTATGGGGCCCCCGGGGGCCCCCTGGCCCGTACCTGGGGCCCTGCATGGGGTTGAGGGCCCCCAGACGCCTTCTGAGGGCCTCTGCCTTTCTTCTTCTTCTTTCTGTTCTCCGCAGCTTTGTCTTTATCTTACCTCCTCTGTCGCGCCGCAGCAGCAGCTCCTGCTGCTGCTGCTGCTGCTGCTGCTGCTGCTGTTGCTGCTGCTGCTGCTGCTGCTCCTCGGGGGGAAGAAGAAGAGGGTCACGGGTCCTCAGCGCATGCTGCTGCTGCAGCTGTTGCTGCCGCAGCACACTGCTGCAAAAGAGGGACTGCTGCAGCTCAAACCACAGCAACTGCTGCTGCTGCTGCTGCTGCTGTTCCAATGCCTGCTGCTGCTGCTGCTGCTGCTGGGTTGTGTTTACAACCCCACCAAAGACAAACTTCTCCCCACACAGCGACAGCCCTTGGCTTTGTCTGGAGCAGCAGCAGCTGTGGGGCCCCCATCCGGGGCCCGACAGCAGCTGCTGCTGCAGATGCCTAGGTGCTGCTGCTGCTGCTGCTGCTGCAGCAGCTGCTGCTGCGGATGTTGCTGCTGCTGCAGGGGCATATATTGGAGCTGCTGCTGTTGCTATTGTTCTTTTTAGCTGAGGCAGGAAGTGGAGAGGCCCCCTAGCTGCTGCTGCTGTTGCTGCTGCTGCAGTTGAAGCAGCAGCAGCAGCAGCTGCTGCTGCTGCTTTCTGCTGCAGCAGCAGACAAATCATTGTGCTGCTGCTGCCTCTGCATGCACCCCTATTCAGGTGTATGTACACCGCACGGCCTGGGGGGCCCCTGGGGCCCTCCAGCTGTCTCTTCCTGTAGCGTTGCTGCTGCAGCAGCAGCAACGGCACCAGCAGCAGCAGCAGCAGCAGCAGCAGACGATGATGATGATCTAGCTTTAACTATGAAGGAGACAAAAGGAGACAGAAAGAAGCAAAATAAAAAACAAAAAAACAGAGAAAAAAGACAAAAGGAGACAGAAGGAGACAAACAAACCAGCAGCAACCCCCCCCTATCAATGGGGGCCCCCCTGCATCGTAGCCAAAAACAGGGGGCCCCCCAAGCCCCCACAAAACAAACAAACAAATAAATAAATAAATAAATAAATAAATAAATAAATAAATAAATAAAACAAAAACAGCAATAAGGGGCCTCTGTGCAGCTGCTGCAGCACTCCGCTGCAGCAGCCAGGGGCCCCTCACACAAAAGGGGGGGCCCCCGGGGGCCCCCCGGGGGCCCCCCGAGCATGGGGGGGCCCCACACGTATGATGAGAGTACCCTGGGGGCCCCCTGTTTATCTTTGTTTGTTAGAATTATTATTTTTGTAGTTTTTATATAAATATAAAAAACTTTTGCTGTTGCAGCTACACACACGCTGCTGTCTCAGGGGCCCCCGGGGCCCCCCTTCACTTGCGGTGATGCGTATACAGAAGGCAGCAGCAGCAGCAGCAACAGCAGCAGCAGCAGCAGCAACACGTGCTGCTGCTGCTTCTGCGGCAGTTATGCATGCGCTGCTGCTCCTCATGCTGCTGCTCGGGGCTTGCTGCTGCTGCACAGCTCATCCGCTGCTGCAGCAGCAGCAACTGCAGCAGCAGCAAATACCTTCCATGCAGACAGCAGCAGCAACAACAGCAGCAACAACAGCAGCAGCATCAACAGCAGCAGCAGCACCAACAGCACCAGCAGCAGCAGCATTCCTTCTCCGACAGCCAGAGTTCCCGTGGCGTCTGTGCAGCAGCTGCTCACCCCGCAGCAGCAGCAGCAGCAGCAGCAGCAGCAGCGGCAGCAGCAACTTGCAGTGTTCTGCTTCGACTCTAAGGACGTCTAGGGCTCTTCTTCTGAGACCCTCATCAGCAGCAGCAGCAACAGCAGCAGCAGCAGCAGGAAAAAGAGGGGCCCCACGCTACTGCAGCAAAGAAGCAGCAGCAACTGCAGCAGCAACTGCAGCAGAAGATGCAGCAGCAACTGCAGCAGGAGTTCCCGCTGCTGCTGTATACCCTCCTGCTGCTTGGGCAACACAGCCACCTGTACCCCTCTCTGCTGCAGCAGCAGCAGCAGCAGCAGCAGCAGCAGCAGATTCATCAGTTGATGCTTTCTCCCCTTTCCATCAGCACGCGCTGTTGCAGCTGCAGCAGCAGCAGCAACAGCTGCACCAGCACGAGCAGCTGCAGCAGCAGATACAGCAGCAACTGCAGCAGCAGCAACTGCAGCAGCAGCAGCAGCAGCAGCAGCAGCAGCAGAGGTCTCGGTGGCTTGCTGTGAGCCAGCGTATAGCAGCAGCTGTC